TTTTATTTTTATTTGGAAGTGCAAATCTAGCTCTTCATAATATTACTTAGTGGCTTACTAGTGACCATTTGTTGCGCAGATAGGAGCGGTAGAAGAAAATTACTCAAATTTTGAATTTTCTATGTAGGGATAAAAAATCTAACTTGCAATAAAAATCAGAGCGGCCGGTTGGAAAGGTGCTGTTACCTGCTCTTTCTAGCTGAGCAAAGCTTGTGCTGATTGAAGGTCTCTATCAAAAGTCATGATTTTCGAGAATAATGCAGAAATAAATCAAATCTGCCTTTTTGTATTGCTTGCTCGTAAATCATAACTTTTGATAGAGACCTTCAATCAGCACAAGCTTTATTCAGTTAGAAAGAACAAGTAATAAAACCTGTAAGACCGGGTGCTCCGATTTTTATTGTAAGTTTTTTCAGATTTTTTGACCCTACACAGAAAATTCAAAATTTGGGTGATTTTCTTCTCGCTCCTATCTATGCAACAGATGCTCATTAGTAAGCCATCACAGTACCGCTCTGAAGAGACTTATTTACGCTTCCAAACGAAAATAAAAACGTTGAAATAGGATGAAAAATCAGAAGGTATAAATTTTTAAAAATGGTGCGAACGAACTTTTGGGTCGACCTAATATTTTCTAAACAATTCGTGAAAATTCAACATTATTTCTGTATGAAACTCTCACTTACACACGTTTGTCTTGGAAAGTCTTACACATTTTTTTGTCTGAAAATCCTGAAATATTAGGTCGAATTAGAAAGCCTTGATTTTCTTTGTTGAAAGCTCTACATATTTTCAAATCTGTTTCAAAGCTTTTTTGTTGAGATTTCAAGACTTCCAAAGTTTTTCAATAGTCCAAACTTTCTCTATTGCTTAGCTAAGAAGTTGCAAAATGACATTGGCGGCAAGGCGCGACTTACAACAAAAAATTTCAGTTATTTCTCATTACCAAAAGGAAAGGAGTCCGAAGTCGGTTTCAGTCGCGCGGACAAGGCCAAAATGACATCCGATAAGTGGAAACGGGACATTTTCCCACAAGACCATCTTCATTTTGAAGCGCATCTTATCCCTTGTAAATGATTTGGTTATCTTTGCCTTTTCATTCTTCCATTCTCTTCTATCAGTATATCATTGCTTTTCAGTTCTTAATATGTACCTATTTTTCCCAACCTTATTCGGTTATGCACATATATTAGTTGATCTTGATCATTATTTTATATAATGCTTTTATAATTTCAGTATACTCATTTAAGAATACTTCATTTTTCTTTATCGGTTCTCAACCTCATTTATCTGTTAATGGCAGTTATCACTGCGTATTGTGGTTCTATATGGTGCCTGCATAAAACAATACACTGCGCCATTTCTTTCCGATTAATTAAACTGATTCGCTGTCTACATCTCTTAACATCTCGAAAGCTTGGAAAAATTTTCCCATCAGATTAGTGATGTCTTAGTAGAGAGCAGAAAACTAGTATAGCTTGATTGGAAGGAACGGATCGCGAATCAAAAGCGAAAACTGCAAAATGTTGTGGAACACCAAACAAGGTGCTGCGGAAACCCTGTGCACGAGATTGCGGCGGTTCCGCGGCGCTTTTGCGGGGTTTCTGCCGGGTCACCTGCGGAAATCCCGCGAAAGCGCTGCGGAAGTTCCGGCCAGTTGTCTGATGTTCTTTCTACTAGGTTTTAAAGCCCTTCCTGACTGACATGCCACATTGCAACTCCTTCTTATTTTTCCTACTCGGTGCGAACTTAGCCGCCATAATAAAAAAATAGGCAAAGAAATCCAGAACAAACATGAAAATCAATCAGGATGCATATGCCAGGATCGTGAATAGAAACAAGCCGAAAATCTCTAAATCTCAAGACGTGCGCATATACAGTGACCGCCAAAAGTTGCGGACAAGCCGCCTTCCTTTTTTCATCGCTCATTTTCGAATGGAAACAAAGATGAAAAATTTATCGGAGTGCATGAGATGATAGAACTTTTCGAGGGCTACAATTAACACGTCACGCTTTCTGGAAAAAAATGGATTCTGAAAAAATCGAAAGCCTTGTTTTCTTTAAACAGCTCGGGCACGTCACAATGTCGCGGACAATATACCTCGAACGCAAAAATTTTCTTTTGGTCAAGGTCTAGATCTTTTTCTGGAGCAAAATCCTAAGTTTACCGGATAGACTATTCTGTAGAGCTCTTCGAGCACAATAATCAAGTAGTGGTTACTTATAATAAGACACAAGCTTGAACCTTATTTTGCCTTTTTCAAAAAATAACTTCTAACTTCTTCCTCCAAATCGACTTTCTCCACATGGAAACCTATTCCAGACATCCCAATACAGCTGTTCCGATAAAATGGATGCTCTTTGCTACCCTCTATGCATCGGAGGTGCGCTGGTGAGTTTCATTGCTGAGAAAGGCTCTTGACAGTGCGTGCACATGACCCCACATTCACTCACTACTGAATTGCACCGCTTTGCAGGCTAGTAGCTCGGCCGGCAGTCGTTCTACGAGCCTGCAAGTAGGCTCATTCGAAACAGCGTGACTTTTTCTACACGATGGTGTGCAAATGAGTTCAGTCTCAGGAATAACAGAGATTTGGCGGAGGAGGTGACAGAGCGCAGCCTTAGAGGTGATTGGAGTGAAGGCTCTTATCAACGCCAGAACAGTCTTAGAGCTCAGAAATGGATCTACTACATATAAATTGTCGGTTTTGGACTTCCAGAATAGAACTAGTAGCGGAAGGAGCTTTCCTCAACTTCTGCTGAAAAATCCATACTATACCACAGAAGCTGCGCTCTGTCACTCCTCCGCCAAATCTCTGTTGTTCCTGAGACTGAACTTATTTGCACACCATTGTGTAGAGAAAGTCACGCTCTTTCGAAAGAGATTACTCGCAGGCTCGTAGAATGACTACCGGCCGAGCTACAAGCCTGCAAAGCGGTGGAAGTCAGTGGTGAGGTGTAGGTGGGGTTATATGCACCACTGTCAAGAGCCATTTTCATCAAAGAAACTCACCAACGCACGTCCGATGCACACAGGATGGCAAAAAGCATCTATTTTAGTCGAACAGCTTTGTTGGGATATCTTGAATAGGTTTACATGTGAAGAAATTTGGCTTGAAAAAGGGAATTAGAACGCGGCCATTTTCGGACTCTTCTTAGAAAAAGATTTTCAAAATTTTTAAAATGCATGTTTTCCAGAAAGCACAATGTGTGGGTTGTAGCACTTGGAGAGCTCTATCACCTCATGCAATCCAAACATTTTTTCATCTCTGTTTCCATCCGAAAATGAGCGATGAAAAAAGGAAGGCGGCTTGTCCGCAACTTTTTGGCGGTCACTGTATCTCGCAAAAGGCTGGAAGTCGCAGGAAATTAATCTAAAAAATAGAATTTGCATCTTGCTTACTCTAGAATTATGATGACCGTTCTTTTGGTTGTCAGCGAGCCCGCCGGTATAGCTAGCACACTTGCCCCGGCTCTATCAAGCATTATAGAAGGTAATGATTTTAAATAAAATGGTCTGAAGTCTCAAATTTACTTTGTCAACCTTAATTTAAAGCACTTGCCTTGCAAAATTTTGCACATTTCTCACCTGTCACACCAATCATGTCACTTGCGGTAACGGTTTTTGTGTTTCAAAATTGTGCACTAATAAATAATCGCTGATAGGGACGTGGAGAAACCTACGGGATTGGCACACGGAACTTCAACATACATTGTATATTAGCATTTGTAATTCTTATAAACATGTTTGTCTACATCGCTTCTTCTTTAGACCTTGGATCTTGGGTTGGCATCAAAGTTGTGTCGCACCATTTTGAGAATTCGTAAATTCCTGCTTTAATTTCTTTGCTCTTCTGCCGGTGTGTTATATTTTATTACCTGCTGCTCTTTCTGACCAAACCTCTATGAAAAGTTGTGATTTCCATAATGCCAAAAAAACAAATTTGCTACTTTTTACTGCTTGCTCAAAATTCATAACTCTTCATGGATGCGTGCAATGGGTTCAAGCTTTGCTCAGTAAAGAGCAGGTAGTAAAAACAAATTTGCTACTTTTTACTGCTTGCTTAAAATTCATAACTCTTCATGGATGCGTGCAATGGGTTCAAGCTTTGCTCAGTAAAGAGGTGGTAGTGAGGTTGTTCGAGGTAGAGCAGGTTCTCTTTGCTCTTCTGCCGGTGTGTTATATTTTATTACCTGCTGCTCTTTCTGACCATACCTCTATGAAAAGTTGTGATTTCCAAAATGCCAAAAAAAAAACAAATTTGCAACTTTTTACTGCTTGCTTAAAATTCATAACTCTTCATGGATGCGTGCAATGGGTTCAAGCTTTGCTCAGTAAAGAGCAGGTAGTAAAACCTGATATACCAACAGTTGTAACTCTTATTGCAAATTTCAGATTTTTTGAGCCCTTTTCTTCTATTGATATCTATGCAATTTGTGCTATGAAGAAGCTGCTAAAAAACTGTTTAGTAGAATGTTTTACTTCTTGAGATAAAAATAAGCAAGAAGATTGGATGGGAAGGCAAGAAATCGTGACTTTCAAAAATGATGTTGCAAAACTTTCATGCCAACCTAGTATAATTCCTCAACAAAATCTAAAACGCAGTGAATCAGAAAACTGCACAGCTTACTTTTTTTGAAGCAAATTTTCACCCTCACAATAGTCACTGTGCTTTCTTGCGTGGATCTCTAAGGGAAGCTTAGAATGTCATATTTTGAAGATATTTCAAATATAAAAGATTTTCTGCGAAGTTTGCACTTGTCAGATTTATAACTCGATCAATCATCATCTCAGTATGAAACATTTACCATATTATTCCCTTACTAATCAAATGAGTTTTAATCGATAATTGGTTGCAATAGACGTGCGCGACATTTTTTCTCTCTTCTTATCAAACCCCTACTCTTACTGTTTATCGTAAAAAATCCCAGGCGTCTAACTATTTTGTCAATTGGAATCGTTCCTAATAGTCTTTCTTCAAAATTTTTCCAATGTAGGCATGCGACTGTTGGCTAAACTGTTATTCATAATCTATGCCGGTAACGCATACAAAATTCTCGTCGTCAATCCTAAATTCGCCTACAGTCACGTAAATTATATGGGCAAGATTGCTGATGTGCTTGTGGATGCTGGGCACGATGTCGTTAGTTGCTACGCTAGACTTCTAATGTGTTCTAATACTTATCAGAACACATTAGAAGCGTTTTAAACCTGGTGACCCAGGAATGATAAAAAAAATCTACCAATCTTGCTCATGCTGTCAGGTAACACTTCAACTTGTGCTTGCACCGTTTCCAAACAACGGCACTGAAAAATCGCGACTAATTCAAATGGAGGTGGATAAAAACGTGATTGCTCCTTTGCTAGCCACTTTCCAAAAGGATCACGACACCAAATGGACTGAAAGTGCTACGAATCCCTTACAGTTTTTCAGGGTATGTGCTATGAACTATCTAATATATATTCAGGGTGTCCGAAAAAGATGTGCACACTGTCTGATTGTTAACTCTCTTGCTTTTATGTCTTTTGCCGAGCATGAGGTACCTTCTGAGGTATATTCTTTAGAGCAAGGTTCAACTTAGATCTTTAGTATGGAGCGACTTATCAGCTGCCCTTCATTACTGTAGGATTACGCTAGGAATTTCGAGAAGACTTTAAGCAGGTAAAGCGGTATTTTGTCTCAGAAAGAAAGCCAAACAAATCAGAAACTCTTGTACTGGGTTATCGAAGTGCTGATTCTAAATATGAAAGTTGCACGTCGGTATACACAGTTTCTTTCATGAGTTATTTCAGATTTAGAGTAACAACTGTTTTCCAATGTTTGTCAGAAATGTGAGTACGCCATCAAGAAAGCTCGAAAAACTGGTGGAAAGTTATTTAGTGAAATCAGCACGCCTAAAAAGCTTGCTACACAAACTTGTAGATTTTTTTCAAAATTATCTCATCAAAAGGCTTATTCCACAATGACGCTGTATGCTGAAAGTTCATACCGTTATCCTACAGTAACGAAGAGTGATTGGTGATTCGCTCCATACTGTAAATCTAAGTTTATCCTCGCTCTACAATTGGTATTTCAAGCTCGGCAAAAGACATGAATGCAAGAGAGTTATTAACGATCAAACAGTGTGCGCATCTTTTTTTGACACTCTGCATATACGGGGTGCCCCAAAAGTCTTAAAGTCTAACTTCGCCAACGCCGTAACTTTGTTGATATCTTTCGTTTTCGATTCAATTTCCGGAGGAAGCTTTTCGTAAAAGTGTTCATGATCGCCATAAAATAATGCGATTTGTTTAATGCATCTTCAAGTTATGTTTTTTTGGAACAAATACTTCTGCGGTTTTAAGGTCAAGCCAGCGGAAGAGTGCTCTAAATGATAAATCTTTGCAGGTTTTCTAAGGGCACTACAGCAAATCTCGAACTATGAGTCAACGTAGATGTTTTTAGTCGGTTGAATAAGCTGTATACCGGATTATGTCTATTTTTTGGTTCGCTCAAATTTTAGCTAAAAAATACAGGTTTAAAGACTTTTGGGACACTCTGTACAATTCCGAGAGTTTGCTATTCCAGTTGATACCTACTATACGAGAACTCGTAACATTCGGTGTAAGCAGTGAGTTGATCTCATAATTATGAAAAATTGCTTGACTATAATTTATTCTAAATTGTAGCTATTCTTGATGACAAACAAGTGCTGCAGCAATTAAAATCCGAGAACTTCGATGTTGGCATTGCAGAGCTTTTCGACTTTTCTGGCTTGGGTAAGCAAAAATTTCAAAAACTTGTAAACGTCTTTTCACTTAGCGTTTTCAGCCGTGTTTGAAGCCATCGGCCTCAAGAACATTGTTGGGGCACACACTGTCTCAAGCCTGATGAAGGGCTCGCTGTTGGTGTTCCAGTAATTCCCAGCTATGTGCCAGGTATCAGGCACTGTTAAAGCTCATTGGTCGAATCACAACTTGACAAAACTTATCTCAAAAAGTTTCGTTTCCTCTTTGTAAAATAATGGTACCGCCTCTACTCACTGTACCGCGATTCTGCTTCAAGGAAGCAATGTCGTAGCTGTGGAAGGATGGGACTGTTGAACATTTACAAACTAGTTTCCTTAATGAAATTAAGTTTTTTGGGCAATGTCCGTGCGTCTGTCATCTCCAGAAGAATGGAGTTCTGACAGATGGATCGTGCATTTGGAAAAAAAAAGAACTGAAGGAAAGGTTGTCATGTAAACGGCAAATACATCGATATTCCGCTGGGAGGAAATCGCAAGTCAGAAGAAGTCAGAAGGAAGTTTAAAGGAAGAAAGAATAAAGTTTATTTTTACCACCACCGTCGTTGAAGGAAATTATAACGCGCACACGAGTTCACGAAAGGAAGTGCATGTACAACATGCATGTACATGTTCGTACTGCGCGGAGAAACCCATTTGTCATTTACGTCATACTGTATACATGATCACGTGTGAAGGATGTGGAGAGCAATGTATTGGCGAAACCAAAAGGCCATTGCGACTCCGCTTCAACGAACACAGAAGAGCATTTATTCAGCCTGCTTTCCTAGCGAAAGCTTCTCTAAGCACAGGACTTCGAAGCACGCCATGGAAGCAGTCCCAAACTTCAAGATAACAGTCTTACATCTCAATAAAGTAAACACTCTGGAGAGGAAGATTATGGAGGCTTATGAAATTAGGAAATACCAGCCGGAAATAAATTATAGAGAAGAAATGAATGAATCCTCGATACTGATTTGTTAATCAACAAGCCCATAAATGGAGAATACATTTCATTCATTACTGACAGCACTGTACGCGGACGCTCCTCCTGAAACTTAGCGAGCTTTATCCCCTCTCCTTACCTCCCTCACAAGGTACGGCTGCGCTCTATTTGCGTTTCTCTCTTCTCAACATTGCACATATTTAACTTAAAGGCAGCGTCCGGGCAGATCCGAGCTCGACGACCACGCCCACTTCCCTCGGACGGCCAACCCCTTATGAACGAAATCTCCTCAGCCTTGACATGTTTTCACATGACCAACACAGTCGAACTTACAGCGTTTACCTGTTAATACTTGCTTTCGACGAGGATAATATCAGAAGCACTCGTCCGGGTTTTCCCAAAATAGCCCCAAAAGGTGGTTTTCTGAGAAATTCACGCTTTTTGAGTTCCATATTCGGAATCAGCGCCATGGAAAGGCCTGGATAACATAAAAATATAGAAGTCGATAATCTGCCTGGACGGTGCCTTTAAGGTCTGATGATGGTTTTATGAGAAACCGAAATGTCACCAATAAAGATACAAAGAGCTTTTCATCGACAATTTACTGTCCAAAGAAGTTTAAAATTTAACTGCGGAGTTCTGAACAGTTTATATCGTCTATCCATTCTCAGTTTCTACTTCTTTTCTCCATAAACATAATGAACGGGAGCAAAAAGTTGTATCAGAGCATTTTCCAGCTTTTTGTATGATCCCTTACAGACCTCCGCCGGCCGACCATTTTTTCTTCAAAGTCATTTCTCTTTATTAATCAGTGAAAATCTTACTAGTTATCTAATACCATCAGAGCTAAGCGTTAGTTTAAAGAATTGACTGTAATAATATTGAGACCTTGGATGAACTCCAGCTCCGACTTGTGGTTTATCGAGATTTTCATCACTTAAATAGATTGTTCATGTTGGAAACATGCTTAGCACTGTTTATCTACGTAATTGGTATAAGATGATTAAGAGATGATCTATTACCCTCGAAAAAATACGACTTTGAAGAAAAGATGGTCCGCCAGGAAGCATCAGGGGATTAAAAAGCTTAAAAATACAACTTAAAATATCAGGTCGTTCCGAAAGTTCTTTCCGTTTTTTCAACCTATCATAAAAACACGTGGAATGAAGGTAATTAAAGGCTTCAGGCAGTTCCCGACGCAGCTTTTCTTCCTCTTTCCAACTGTCCTATTCCTGTGACGCTTGCTCTTATGATCAGTGAGATAATAAACGAAATTTCGGAAACATGGTTATTACCATGTCCAAATTTGGCAATTTTTCACATTCCTCATTTTCACTCTTGGAAAAGCTTTGATAGCAATCAGATAGAGTGAACAAAGTGCAATGCAGCGCAATTTTCGGCAATTTCAACTGGCTTCCCAGTATTTTTTGAGGTAACTTTTCCAGAAGTCTTCAGTTTTTCAAAGTCACAAAACACAAAAACGCTCCGAACATTAACAAATCTTCGGAATTCGACACTTTCAAAAGTCGTTTATGATTGTCCATATTTTTACAAAGTAAGTGAGTGCTTACCCCTCCGAAATATAAGATTTCGCATTTCACGTGTATGCCTTTAGGCGGGTTCAAAATCAAGATTTATGGAAGTTTTATCGCCAAAAATTCCCACAAACTGGGAATAAAAATACACAGTAGAAAGAGGAGAAAAAGCTGCATCGAATGACACCTTAGTTTGCACTGTTTTACGTTCTATGTTTATTGGCATCACCAATAGTGGAATTTGATAACATCAGAAAAATAATTCTGAATAATTTTTGAGGCTAGCGCCGAAAAATTGCATTAAATTGCACTTTGTTTACTCTATCTGATTGTTATCAAAGCTTCTCCAAAAGTCATAAAAGAAGATTGTAAAAAATTGCCAAACTTGGACCTGGTAAAAACCATGGGTTCGAAATTTCGGCCATTATCTCACTGACCACAAGAGCAAGCGACACAGTAATATGTCCGTTGAAAAGAGGAAGAAAAGCTGCGTCGGATATTTCCTAAAGCGTTCCCCTATCTTCATTCCACATGTTTTTATTCTAGGTTGAAAAAGCGGAAAGAACTTTCTTAACGACCTAATATAATGAAAACTTCGAAAATGGAATACAACTTTTTGCTACTTTCATTATGTTCTAGAGGGTAAAACAAATCTTAAGAACAAGTAGACTTCTATTTATCTACTTATTTATTATGTACAAGGCGGACCATAACTAGAACAAAGTACTGAGAACTTAACCATAAAAGATCAGAACTTCGCAGCTTCTATTGAGTTTGTTTTCAAAGCTGAAAACTCTCCAGGGGGCATGTTTAACTGTAGTTTCTTTTGGAGCTCATTCCTGAAAAACCCACTTCTAAATTTTTGTAGATATACCCCAATAACAGAAAGACTTTGTACTAAACCATAGGCTGATAGAATGTTGGGTTGGGAAGAGGGAATGTCGCTTTTTCATTTGTTTCCCATTTCATTGCAACAAGACGATCCCCAAAAATCTGTGGAGTGCTTTTTAATAGAACAAAGCAAGATAATTAAAAAACCAAGCTTCTGCACCAAGTTCAATGCACACGTGAAGTTTGAAGCCGAATTTTAAAAAGTTTTTTATGCTGAACACTCGAAAATAATCAATTTCTGTTCGAAAGCCCTAACTATCTTCCACTCGGTCATACGCCTTCACATCAAACATTCATATACACAGTTGCTGTATTTTTCTGGTCCGAACACTATGAATACAAAAATTCTATTTTTTTCCAGAGCAAGGGTGTGCTGCTCTGACGTAGTTAATTCTATGCTACAAGCCTTTGTTAGAACAACCATAAACCTTTAGAACTCCATAATAGCTACCTTTTGAGGGATACCAAAATCATTGAACAGCCCAACCTTAATTTGAGAAAAGCGTGAAAATTTTCGTTTACAATTCTCCTCGGGAAACTATGCAGCAGCTGAATACAGCAATGTTAGATGTGGGAAGTATGCGCGTGTGCAAGTGAGTCGCTGAGCTTTTCTGGACAAAACTCCGATTATTATTGATTCTTCGAGCATCTGAAACTTATTAGATTTGGGCTTCAAACTTCAGGCGGGTCAAACTTGATACATGAGCTCTTTGACACTATCTTGTAGCCTTGCTTTGTTTTATCGAATGGCGCGCCTCTCGCAAAATTTTGGTATTCGCCTTGTTGCGTGGCATGGGAAGCAAGTGAAAACAATATTTTTTCTCGTGGCATGGGAAGCAAGTGAAAACAATATTTTTCCTAACTTATTAATATCATTGAACACTTTGATGATCAATGCTGCTGAGATGATTGAGTTACCGTACATGGTGACGATTTCAACGAAACTAAGGGCCGCATGCACTGACAACCCCGCGGGGAGGGGATCGCAGCTTAAAAGAAAGCTTCATATTTCAAAACTCCAGATACTTGGATTTCACGTTGTGTACCTACCCGTAAGTATTCCTACTACCCTTTACTATAAACATGTTGAAGAGGAGCGAGAAGCTGTACAAACCGCATTTTCCAGCTTTTGTATGATCCCTGATGATCCCCGGCGCTTTTCTTTAAAGTCATTTTTCTTTCTCCGAAGTTAACGGAAAATCTCCAAAGTTGTGCAGATTATCTAACCCGACGATGCTAAGCATGTTGTTGATAAGAACAAATGATGTTTTGAAGTCGTGAAATTTTCGATGATCCACAGGTCGAAATTTGAGGTTTACCGAAAAATTCGACTTTTCAAAAACTCATTTGTTCTCATCAGCAACATGCTTAGCACTGTTGTGTTAGATGTTCAGTACAACTTTGAAAGGTTTTCGTTAACTTCGGAGAAAGAAAATTGACTTTAAAGAAAAGCGCCGGGGATCATCAGGGATCATGCAAAAGCTGGAAAATGCGGTTCGTACAGCTTCTCGCTCCTGTTCAACATGTTCATAGTGAAGGATAATAGGAATACTTACGGACAGGTAGACAGCGTGAAATCCAGATATCTGGAGCTTCAGAATATGAAGCTTTCTTTTGAGCTGCGATCCCCTCCCCGCGGGGTTGTTAGTGCATGCGGCCCTAAGATGGCAGATGGGAGACGACAAAGCCAACACATCCAACTTACTCTGAAAGACTCGCTACCAGGAATCATGATTGCATCGGGTCTTCATTTTTTTAGGAACGCGACATTTCCTGTGTCTTGCAATTCAGTACAGCGTGGAGGTTGGGTCTGGACTTAATTCTATCAAAATATGTGTCGAACTGCTTGCTGAACAAGACCATGACCACGATTTCTATGAAGTCATCTTCATAGAATCTGTGCTCTTTTGCATCTTCTCCCCTCCTCTCGCCACTTGCGGTAAACCATTATGAAACTGCGTTGAGATGGGATCATTCTTGAATGCTAAAAAATCGGGCTTGACTTTGTCAGTCCGCAGAGCAAATCAGTTATTAAAATCAAACCTTGCGATGCATCCTCCCACATTGTATCTGTTAGCAAACTTAGTAATGACCATTATTACATTTTCCAATATTTTTTGAATAATTGTGAAAGAACTTCTTTGACTTCTTGAACTGTTCAAGACGCGCACCATTATCGACTTTGAGGCTAACAGAAGATAAGATAAGTATGTGCAATTTTAAAATTCTTCAGCATTACAAGGAGTCACGGATGACTCAACATCCTTTTCAACTCGTGTCAAAAACATCATCTACACTTACCTCTCTTATTACTTTCAATTGAATGCTGCAAGAGCTGCAGAGAAGGTGATGGTGGAGAAGCTAGGAAAGTCTATCACCCCAATATGGGTAGGTTCCGGAAGCCGTATTATACGTATTATACGTAAGTCTTATACGTCTATAATTAGTTTTTTTATAATTAGATTTATTTTTGTTACAGGATACTCTATCAAACATGACATGGATGCTTACGAATACTGAACCAATGCTAGAATTTGCAAAACCGACACTACACAAAATCGTGGATATTGGTGGTATCACCGTTTGTAAACCTAAACCGCTCGAAAAGGTGTGCATGAAGATTTCTCGAATGAATATCAAAATAATTTTGAATATGTGAAAATACAAAACTTTAATCTTTCAAACATGAGGGGAATCAGGACTCTTTCTCGAAAACTAATCTTATTACTAAACGTTGAATTTACTAGACATATGTTTCGATGGTGGAAGTAGAGAAGAGGCGAGGTTGGGTGAAGAGGGCGGGATTTTGAAAGTTACCTACATGTGTTGAAATGCGTAAGTGACTTGCCTTTCCTTGTAGATGAAATTGCAATGGGATTGATCTTGAAAACTTAAAAATTACTTCGAAGATATCTTTGAAGGCAGCGTCCACTCGAATCTGCTTCTATGTTTTTGTCATTTCGTAACTCATCCATGACCTTGGTTCCATACAGTGCAAAATGCCAGAAACTTTCCAGAAAACGTCTTTTGGAAACCCTCCCTCAAAGGCGTTGATGACTTCCGCTATATAGATGAGCGGAACCGGGACTTGATAAAGTGGGCGTGGCTTTATAGCACTCTCGCTGATTTCTGCTCCAGTTTTTCCTCTTAGACCCACGCTAGAAGACCGGACAAACGTAGATGCCCCGCTCAGGGACTCGCGCCGTGCTGGCGGCCACCGATGACCCTGCAATCGCTCGTCGGTGTGTGCGATTGTACGGTCGTCAAGGGCCGTTGGCACGGTTCCTAACGCTCGCCGCTTGCGCGGGGGAGCGACCGCTCGCTTGCTGTTGGAGTAGGTCTATATGGGATATCCTGACCATTTTTCTTGGATATGGTAGTCCTTTTTACATTCTGGTAACATCGGAAGATGCCTGCAGCACTGGCCAAACTTTCCATGGTGAAGCCCACACCATCACTCTTGACGGCTGTGGCTTCACACAGGTTCATTCTGGCCTTGCGGGGGAAGGAAAATGTTGATAACAAGATATGTCAACGCTTAGCCAGCCTAAACGCTGCGTCGTATCTCACGCAGGTACCGTTTGAGCTCACAGTGTGTGAAAATAGTGAGCAGAAGATAGAGGTCACTGTCGGCGCTTGCACGGCAGTAGGTATTGCCGACCGATAAGACGGACGCATTGCTGGCCGCTCGCTCGAGCACTTGTATTGCAGGCCGTTTGCACGGTAACATTGCCAGCCGCTAGGACGGCGCTTCAGCTGTTTGCCGCACGCAAACAGCGGAAGCTTTAGGCTTATGTCGACCGCTTGTACGCTAGCCCTTATCGAAGGACCGCTCGCGTGGCGCGAATCCCTGAGCGCTCTTCGAGACTGCTTGTAAACTAGTTTTTAACCGGAAAGAATATCTTGCCTGGAAGCTGCCTTCAGAATTCAAAGTAGCTCTTTGGGGAAAATTTTTCCGGATGTTTGACTGCCGCCACGATCCTCTTTAAAAATCACAGGTCGAAGTTTTCAGTAATTTCTTCCAAAATTTTGTTAGCTAGACTGCAATAAAAATGTAGCCATTTTAATGAAATGGAAACTGCATCTACAGCTAATATCGCTTATAAACTTCCGTTCCACGGAATATGGCGCTTGTTCAAATGAAAGCGAGATACTTCAGAAATGGCCTGATATTTGTGTCAAACTAATAGTAAAATCTTTTTGCTTTTGGTACTGGAATCAAATCCTGAGTCTGCGTTCCCATACCATACTCATCTCTTTCGGCTCTGTTTTACAAAGTTCGAAAATGCCGGATACCTACAAACGTGCCGTTATGAACCTTGTAAAGTCGTAAGTTAGTATGTTGCTATGGTGTCTGACTGATATACTTACAATCGAATAACTCAGATATCCAGATATCACTTTTATCTGGAAATATGAAGATACAAAGGTGCCGTTCGCGGACGGTGTGAAGAATCTGATTCTGTCGAAGTGGGCGCCTCAAACGGACTTGCTCGGTGAGAACAAATTTGGCCCTATTTAGCGATGCTCTAGCTCTAGGTGTTTTGAACTAAATTACATATAGCATTTTAACATATGGACCGTGCAGCGGCGAATCGCCGAAAAGGGGGATGATGAGGGATTATGGATGAGTGGCTTCAAAATCTTTGAAAGTGGTTCGAATGAGTTATAAAGTTGTGCACGTGACTGCTTTATTTGTTGATAAAACATATGAGCTAAAACGAAGAAGAAAGAAATTCAAACTCTCTTTATATAAAATTTTTCGTCCTCCTCCTCTCCTCAATCTGTCTGACCCACTTTAGCCCCAAAAATTTACTCACAGATATTAAAAACATGTAAGAATTTGCACGCTCCTCATCTTACAGGAAGAAAATTTGGTCGAAGTGGGGTTCCCATAGAAATGTAAACAGTCTTTTAGAGCAAGAAGACAATTTCGAATCGGCTTTTTATATCTGCAGAGCGTTTCTGGTAGGGGAGTTATGGGATTTTTTTTAGTCAAAAATTCAAAAGTTTAACTAGGGTGGCAAAGTGTTGAGGTCTTTTGGGGCTTGAAAGAAGTAATGATTGGCATGAGTTTATTAGACTGAAGGTATTACCTATATAAAGTACTCTGGCACTAATTACATCAGTGGTCCCACTGAAGCTCACAGCCTCCGCTCCTAAGTAGCCGCTCGTTTCAAGTTCTTGCCTCAAGAAATTTGTATGATTCCCCTCCCAGAAATTTTTGCAGATATCGAAAGCAGACTTTGAGACAGCGTTTCATCTTATATATAAAGCTGAATGTCTGTTTGTCTGTCTGTCTGTCTGTATGTACGTATGTTCCGAATAGAAAATTCCATTTCTGAACCGATCCGGACCAAACTTGGCACACATACACTACGGGCCCCGGCGGGTGTCATAGGCTACTTTTCGTCATCGATCGATATCGATTTTATCGATTTTATCGATTTTTTGCAAAGTTTGAGCTACGGGGCTGGGAGTTGGCACAGGGGGGTAATCGAGCATGGGGATTCCGAACGTAATCTGCATGCTCGATTACCCCTCTGTGCAAACTCCCAGCCCCGCAGGTCAAACTTTACAAAAAAATCGATAAAATCGATAAAAGTAATGGACGATCCTGAAAACTAATACTGTGTTCGTAATCAGCATGCTCGATTACCCCCCTGTGCAAAATCCCAGCCTCGCATGTCAAAATTTACAAAAAATCGATAAAATCAATAAAAGTAATCGATAATTCTGAAAACTAATATTGTATTCGGAATCCCCATGCTCACTTCCCCCCCCCCCTGTGCCAACTCCTAGCCCTGTAGGTGAACTCTGCAAAAAAATCGATAAAAATCGGTAAAATCGACATCGATCGATAACGGAAAGTGGACTATGACACCCGCCGGGGCCCGAAGTGTATGTGTGCCAAGTTTGGTCCGGATGCGGCGGAGCCGGGTAAGCCAGCTAGTGTTCTATATGACTGCATTTCATGTGGAAACGGCACTTTGACCTCGCATCTTTCCCCTAGAAAAATTTAATTCCTGTCAATGTTTTGCTAGATTTTGATCTAGATTTAAGCTTTCAAATACCATGTGTTAATTTTCAGCGGACGATCGTCTCATTCTCTTTATCACACATGGCGGTGCTGGCAGTTTGCTTGAAAGCGCCACATACGGAAAGCCTTTGATTTTTATACCATTGTTTGGCGATCAAGTTAGGAATGGAAGAATAGCCGAAAAATTTGGCTTTGGTAGGTTTTTATCAAAACATGGAAAACGAACACTGCTTTGTTTTTGTTTTTTCGATAAGGTGTACATCGTACATGTGTCTCAAAAAAGCTGTGAACGATATTACATTCCAATGGTCATGACATCACTTCGTAATACATTTTATAATATGCCAGGTTCCGGACTATTCAAAATTGAGCTAATCATATTACTTAACATACAAAAGTGGTAAAAAAAGGGGAATAACTTGTTTTCATTTTATCAGCTTCACATTTTCCCGCCCATTCAAGTAGCTTGTTTCAGGAATGATGCTGGATAAGTTTAATCTTCAAAACCTCAATGCACTGCGAAATGCTGTCGAAGCGGTTCTTACAAATAAAAAGTTGGTTTATTTTACATTTAATTTTATTCGTACACGCGTACCTTACTTTACTAGCAAACCGAAGAAATCAAACTTTAGTCTCAAACCAAAAACCGATTAAACGATAGAAGCAGTCTTTTTGTACACGTAGTCCTGAGCTCTAACGCCGATTCGTCCAGGTACGCCACCGCTGCCCGTCGGATTCGTGATCTTCTTGCCAAGCGACCATTTTCTCCCGAAGAGAAATTGGTGAAGACTGTGGAGCTAGCTGCTGAGTTTGGCCATATCCCCGAATTTCTCGTAACGGGGCGAAATCTTAACTTCATAGTGTACTATAACTTGGATATATTTCTTTTACTTTTAGCATTCTGCTTATTGACTGCATTTATTGTTTTCTATGGAGCAAGGGGGCTTTTGAAAAGTATCAGAGATAAGAAACTTAAAACTCAATAATTTAATGTCATGGTCATCAGTTGTAAACTTTGTCTTTGGCTGTTTCCATAGTATGCATACATAAATTTTGGATTACAGGCGTTTCTAACAATAATAATTTCCATAATGAATTTCTTTAAGCTGTGCTCCTCAAAGGATCAATGGCATGAAGCAGATTTTGCCCACACTCGTCCGTACCTCAAGAATCGATAATCAATAGACATGCAGAAGGTAGTCCGACATGTTATTTGGAAAAACTCGATATGGGCAAGAGTATTTTGCTAGCAGAATTCTTGAATTCGGTCATGTCGCACTTTGATTTGCAAATTGTTGCGATGAATGCAGACGCAGATGTGTTTCCCGCAGCTGAGTGTTAACCTTAGTACATACCATGAAACTCAGTCGTAAAGACTCGAAAAGTTCAAGATTGGCCATCCACGAAGCCCGTTTTACACAGTATAGTCTCGAAACAAATTATACCAAAAGTATGTGGCCATTGTTTGATTGTGAATGACTCTCTTGCCTTTTGATCCTTGGCGGACTTTGGATAATTACGTAGTGCTGACTTTAGATTCACAGTATGGAGTGAACGATCGCTCTTCATTGCTGTAATGTTACGGTAAGAACTGTCACTCATAGCTCATTGTAGACCTTCCATCCTCAAAAAAAAAAAGATTTCCAGAAAACCTGAAAAGTGTGTACCACGATTTCAGAAGCGCTCGTTTCATTACTCAACTTTTTACAAGTTTGTAAAACTTTTCAAACGGTTTGACCACATTTCTATAGAGCATTGTGAAGAAACACCTAATGCGGTTTTCTGGTGTAACTTATGAACCAGTATAAAACAGCGTGGAATGTTTTCAATTAGTAAATGAATGTATCGAAAGATAAAAAACAGGGAAGAGTATGCTTCTGCACGGCATAAACGATGTGCTCGGTGAATTTAGTTGTCAGTAGATCATATTACCCAAATCCCTGACCGACGAACACACCGTTAGGACAGTGGCATTCTCGTAAGCGAAAGCTGCAATTTTTTCGAAGTGCATAAAGGAGCAATTGTTGACATGCAATAAAAGCTACTAAGGAATACCCACAAACCCACTCGAATATCAAAGTGCAACATGTAAGCATAACTATCCTACATATTGTATCATGCATACACCACTGTCATCCGTAAAACAGTAAGTACTTTCCCGAAAAACCAAAATAAGAAACAGGCGAAGGTACTCTACAGCTTCTACCCATCTATTAGGTTGGCGGATAATTTCTGTTACATTTTTTTCAAATTCTCTAAAATCTTCAAAACTGCTCCATATGTAGGCCACGGCAGGGCGCACACAACAATATGACTAATGCCGCGAATGCACAATTAGCCAGCGACTTTACGATAACTTTATAAGAACACTCAAAATTGTCATTTTTTCTTTGATTTTTTTCTACGCGTCTCATTGTGATTTTCTCTCCCATAATTTTTTTAGAACATATTTTCGCATCCTCTCTTTTATGGTAGCGCTTTGGTACCACTAGCACGCCAAAAACAAGAAGTGAAAAACAACACAAAAAAATCAAAAATTCCTCAAAAATTTTTCTTTTTGTGTGCATCGTGTAGGATTTGATATGTAAAGGTTGGAAATAATTTTTGTAATTTTTTAAAGATTGTTCTTCATGTCAAAATGCCAATGTGCGTTGACATGGCGCAACATGTAGCGCATGCGATCATGTGCGGACATGATTGCGCCATCCCCCTATGTTCGCTAAAAAGTATGGACCATACCCTGCTTGAATACCACATTGCTCGGTCACTTCCCAGTAACCTGGAAGAATGTCAACCCGCTGACAAAAATGTCCATAAAATGTACTCCCACCGATAAATTGGGTGTTTTACGCATGGATTGCAGATCTGACAGTATCGGCGGGTCGACCTTTGAACCGCGCCATATTTGTAACAAGGGAATTTTTGGAAGTTTCTTAGATTTCGAAAAATTAAAATAAAGGTGTAACAAAAATTATCCGCCAACCTAATACATTCAATAAAATACTAGTGCACCAATACCTTGTGAAAAAGGATAATTCACCTCAATCATGATCTGTTATTGAAATAAAATCTAAATCATCCAATAAGCTTCTTCCCATCTCAGAGGCACAAAATGCGAACAAAGTACATGGTCGGGGATCTTATCAAAATCTTTGAATGGATCAATATCAACAGCATCCACAGACAATCTAGCATCAAGAACTTCTTCCCAGTCACCCATGTCACAAGTTTATGATAAATCTCTCAAGATAAATAATAAATTCATAAAAAATAAAGAGTTAAGGATAAATTGGATGTAGCTCTCATAGTCGAAACATTTTTTTAAAATCTTTCATAACTCTGTAATGGGTGTCAGACTTACAAAACGAAATTGGGATAGTGTAGAAGCGGATGGAGTGATACGAGGACTATCCACAAGCTACAGCACTGGCAGTGCCGCTTTTCAAAGCTGCGTTTTAAACGCAATAAAACGCCGGAAGTGCCTTATTGCTATATTTTTCCGAATAGCTTCCCACAAAGCCACTCTTTTTGATTCACTTTATTATATTTGGACTCAGCACTGTTTGCTCTATCCGACAATATATTCAAAATCTGAAGAAGTCAATTTTTCATGTGCCGCAGGGCACAATAAACGCGTTTTTTGCGTCGGAAGTGCCGCATTGTTATAACTGCCTTCAAAATTATCGCACAAAGCTCATGTTTACATAGTTGTCATCAGTGTCCCTTGAGCTATCTGCCAATCTGTTTAAGAGTTTGCAAATCTCAATTTTTAGTGAATTACACGTCCTAAGTCTTTTTGGCCCCTTTTTTAGCACTGATAAGCTGATAACGATCTTCAAAGTAATCGTACAAAATTCTGAACAACATATTTGAAATCAGCTCTTTGCAAGCTATCCAATGATTTGTTTAAAAACCTAAAAATCTCAAATTTTTTGTTTCCGATTTTATTGGTCCCTCGTAGGGGTATTATTATCTAGGTTGGCTCCGGCCCCTGGCTGCCGTGACCCATCATTATCGATTTTTGTGATCAGAATAGGTTTGGTAGTAAAATACAGCAGTAGGATTGCATGTTGACTTTTACACACCTTAAACAGCACATAGTGGAACTTGAATCTTGAAACATGAACTTCAATTTTTGAAATTCGTTAACATTCAAAAATTACTCGAAATTCTTTTTGGAAAATAGGAGAGTGCAAAAATCAATAAGAATCTTGTCATTTCGATGGCCACTATGAAAAGCTGTGAATTCACTTCCAAATACCACTATGAATTGAATTCAAAAAGAATCATGACAGAACCCAAACGTATGACTTTAGAATCTGTGATATATATTCTTGAAATTTTCGGGGCATGTAAATATGAGCAGCCAGTAGAATGATTAATCCCGAGATTTTGATTCCGAATCAGCAATCACTTGATAACATGTACATGACAGCAGACAATGAACCGTCTGCATAGTGCGAAGACATGTAGGCTGTCATGAAATATAAACATTATTTAATCACTCTTCTAGTCAAACATGTTCAAAAATATATTCTCCATTGAAGCTCGTTCTGCTAGCTTTGCCAAATTAACGAGAAGATTTGTTTAAGGTTAAGCATGTGTTTTTACTAATTTTATGCTTTACTCTTGCACAAGTAGCTTTGGTAGAAGGCTATAGCAAATCGACTACCACTGGTCCTTAATAAGTGCGATTATTGAAAGATGTGCACTGGGACTGACCTCACTATATCGGTTTTCACCATTCATTAAGTGGCTGCATTATGTGGCTCTGCGACGTATGGATGTTGGAAATAAGCTGGTTAAAAGCAACCTCAATTAGGAGTACTGAAAAATTCTAATTTAATCTACGCATGATTGAAATATCTGCGATATGGTCATATTCACGATTATTTGATAACACCTATGAATAGCCAGACACATTTTTGATTCTATCTTGGATGGAGTAGATCGCAAAGATATGCAATCTGCTTGTCTTCTGATTTTTGAGTGATTACCCGCCGAAAAATGAGAAGTTGCCTTAGGCCTGGCAGAGGATCAGCTTAGTCGTGATGGCTAAATGCGTCTGCTATTTCTTAACGAGATTATTGGAACAGTTTATAAAAGCTGCTTTGAGATTTCGAAGTAAACTATAACAAAGATTCCGATTATGATTTTGTGTCTGGGATGATTTGATGACCTTTCTGTGCTATAAAATTTGGCCGATGTGCCCTTCGATGTGTTAGTGTGCCTGTGGTGGGGAATCAGGTGTGAGATTGCAATAGCAAAAATCACTATTTTTGATTTTTGCTATTGAAATCTAAACCCAAGTCTAATTATCGACGAATTTTGTCATATTTTATAGCTAATGTGATTTCAATACCAAAAAATAATAATTGGGTTTTGAGAGCCTATTCCAATTCTTTTCGAATTTTATCATATTTTCTAGCTATGAGAATTCAACAGCACAAATCATATTTTCTGTTTTTTTGAGAACATAGTTCATTTTAATAATCTTTGCGATCATTGAAAATCGCTTTTTTTCTCCAACCAATCGACATGTGGAGGCATTCGTTGGACCACCTCGCACCTTTGGACATTGCTGTGTTAGCTCAGCTGAGCGCAGGTGCATCAAAGCCAATACGATTGAAAAAAGAAACGTGATTTCAGAATATCCAACCTGTATAATTTGAGGAAATACGAAATTTGCATGCGAACATTTCAGATTTACTTTTGAAATTTTAGAAATCATATTTATGGCTTGTTCAATCATAAATGGCCAAATTATCATGCTGAAAACCTAAGAAAAGCAAAATACATATGAATGTTGACTTTCCATTCACAGCTGTGTGGCTCACAATACTCGTAAAAACACCCAAGTTTATAACTGATTTATGAAAAATCATAGCTATAAATTTCAGTGAAATCAATCACGTTCATGTGATTATAGAGGTATCAGAATCTCTAATGTTCTAGATTAGTTGCTTATTTTTCGGTAATTTCCAAA